TATATATATATATATATATATATATATATATATATATTATATGTATTGTTTTGACTGGAATACAAAAAAAAATACATAGGCCTAACATAAGCATTTTCATTACCTAATAATGCATTGTAAATTGAAAATGAAAGACATTTAAAAGAATATTGCAGTAAGAAAGCCGCACTTTTAAGACACAACAAGTTGTTCTCCCCTGACCGAGATGGTCGTTTGTTCATCACTCGTAACTTACATTACATTAAGTAGGCCCTATATTATTATATCGTACAATAATTTTCATCATTATTATTAATATTACTTACATTTTTGTTCTATAATTTTTTAATAACCAGGTTATCAATTCACTATTTTAAAACACAAAGCTGCAACTTGAAATACCGAAAATTATATGGAAAATATGCCTGAGATTTTAATTTGCCCGACCTAAAGTTTAGATTCAGGCCTACAACCAATCCTTAGTCCTGATGTGCAGTAAGCCAGTTCGTGGTTGAAACTACGCATGCCCTTATCCACGGCCAATCCTGGCGCGGATCCAGTAGGAAAACGGGGGATGGGGGAACGTTCCCCTTGTTTTGCACTATTTTGACCTTATGATATGGACATGCGCAATTCGAACTTTGGCTTAATGAAAATGGTAGGTCCTAATAAGTTAATTTCGATTAGTAACTACGTTCGACATACTGATTCCACTGTTGACTTTTTTTTAATCATATTAATACTAAAATACACATCACTTTGTGATGGATAAGTAATGAGGCTACACCCAAGGCTAAACTGTTAAAACCAACGTTTAATCGCTAAATCGTTGATAATCGGGTTCTTCAGTACAGTCTTTAAAATTAGCGAAGACTTTAAAAAAAATCTAATCACTTCATTAACCTTTTGCTTGCTCTAAGTGGGTAGGATTTTGGAAATACTGAATCCGGCTTTTATTTCTTTTTTTTTAGTTTATACCAAAATTGCTTAATCCTGTAATGAATAACATTATGAGATTCTTTTATAATCTGTTTGTTAATAGTGTAATCAAGTCAAGTTCAAGTGGAGTTCAAATTTGACGGTCACGAAACGCTGTGATTGTTTATATGACTTTAAAAAATCAAATAGGCCTACATTCACACACGAATCAATGAACAATTTTAAATGAATAACCACCATCCTATGGTAACCCTGGCGCCACTCTGTCTGCATAATCCCCAGGACTGCCACCCTGGCCCCACTGTGTCTGCACCCTCCCCCGGGTTCACCTTCGCCTCACAATGTCTACACATTCCCCAGAACGGCCACCCTGGCTCCACTGTGTCTCCACCCTCCCTGGAACGAACATGCATGGTTCCCCCTGTGTCTGCAAGCTTCCTGCTGGACGGACACCATGTATAGCCCACTGTGTCTGCACCCTTTCCGGGACGGACACCATGCATGGCCCCACTGTGTCTGACCTCATGGGACCTTCAACCTGGCCTCACTGTGTCCACACTATCCCCACAGGTAAGAGTTTTGTACTTTGTTGCCGGGGCAACAGTTACCTGCATTGCAGAAATGAAACGCCTAATATTATAGTCGAGTGTTGATAAGCAAATATATAAGGGTTATTCAACTTATTTCACTCGCTTTTATCCGTGGGCAATGCTCCATAACCTTTACCTGGAATCAATCCTGGTTGTCATTCCTACACGAGAAGCTGACGATTAATCATCATTTTTAGAATGTTTCATGCCATATATACCTCATGGCTATAGTATTGTATAAGTAAGCGATTTACGTGATTATCATTACGTAATGGCCACGTCACGTAAACTACTTAATTTTAGTTTGGTGCTCAAGTAGCGTGTCTAGTTGAGTTCGTGAGACTGTATAATGCGAACGATAGAACTTGCTGGGACATAGCATGTGTAACACAATCGAGATACTACGGTAGTTCTGTGTAAAATCATAACAAAATAATACTATACAGTGGCTTAATGCAGAATGGATGGTACTTTCATTGGTGAGTAGATTCATTTCTAGCATTCATAGCTTTATGGACGCATCATATTCCTGACTAACCTAATAATATTATTACTAGCATTGCCGTAACGGTATAATGATCAAGAGATATTCTCCTGATTTGCGCTGTGAACTTCGATTGTCTGCTCCAGTGTCACATGCTCCACAGTGACCATTTATTTAGTGGAGAGAGAAAACGAATGGCGTACATTTCACAAAACTCGTTCCATAATGATTCAATAACGTCTGCTTTAAAGTATGGGATATTAAAACTTGACGTTTATCGATTTTTTTTGCAAATATCTAGACCTACTTTAAGCCTATCCTTGGCAGTATTGGTGCAACTCATCAGCATAATAGGAAGGAAGATATTCTATTTCGTTTGTACGCGACATAAAACGGTTTTCTATGAAACTCATCATATCCGAATGTCGTTATTATTTTACTTTTTGATATTTCATATGCGAATTGGCATCATTATGATAATTTTAATCATATTCTTGTTCACGGGAGTATTTTTAGGATCGCAACGTGAATTTTGATCTTTATCAACGTCTCATTATTCACACGCACGAATGGCGGCCGTCTGCATTTCCCCCTCTAAATATCCAATGACAATGAATGTTTTACTGCACGCAATATCTTAATATTTTATACGGTTTTTAGTGTAATGACAAATGTAGAGCTGCTCTGGTTCAAATCCATAAGCAGACATGTTTTAAGCTCTGTCGACACTATCGAATTTTCTTTGATAAAAAAAACTGCTATATGCCCATATATAGTCATGATGTGCCTATATATGGACATGATGTGATGTCATCATGACCATATTTAGGCATGTCATATGTTTTGCTTTACGAATGATCTTCTGGGCTAGCATGGAAAGTCACCATCTCAAATACCGTTATTGTTCAAATTTAACAATATAATACCGTACAACAGTGATATGTTATACAAACGTATTTAAATCAAAAGTATTCATCATTTATGTAATGTACAAATAATGACTAAGCCTATTATGTAGTAGACAGATCTGTATAATAGTCAGCATTTGAAATCGTTTTTGAATCCTTACTTTCCCAAAATAGTATGCCTATTGCCTGTAGTATGTATATGCTGTAACTTGCCTTGTCTATAGGTAACCGTTAAGACACTTTCCTGTAATTACCCCGTCCTTCGAAAGGGACGTTAAGTGGTTAGTCCCGTGTGTATTGGGCATGCGTACTGGATGATTAATTGATCGTCCCCCGGTGTACTGGCCACCACAGACGCTGCACCGCAGATTTCGCAGGTCTTAAGAAGTCGAATTCAAAATGCTCTCTCGATTTTCAACAAGTACCATATATAGGCCCTGTCTCTTATACACATCTAGATGTGTATAAGAGACAGGTTTAGGCCCTATTTGGCAAATACTGTAG